TGAATTTGCCTGTGTGTTTAAATGGCTGCTCCATATGCTCACATGATTCAATCTGCAACCGTTTTGCGCAAGAGCAATCTGTATCTTTCGCGCTATGACTGCGGCAAATACAATGGTAAGAGGGGACGTCCTCATGTAGCTTTGCCTCAATCCAGCAATCAGAGAGAAACATTTCCATCGACCCCAAGGTATTTACAAATATATCAGGTAGCTTGACCCTTTATTGAATCTATGTATGAACCATGTTGCACAAATTCTTGTTTACTGCACTATCATTAACATAAAATACATCATTATTATTGTTCTTGAATCCCTTATATTACAAATGTTACTTTCAAGTGATTCATCAATATGCATTGAAACAGAAATTATAATATACACATTTCCCATCTTCTGTTTTTGGGTGGCATAAAATAGTAATTTGATTCTTCTAGCCCTATTTCAGTTGTTGAAGTTGAATATTCATTAATGGGCTTTTAAGGATTACTGAAAACAGCCTTACGAAGTTTGTGATCCAACATTTTTCATCAATGTTCCATAGACATCATGATGTGAGGATGGAATCATAAAAATGAAGTACAATGAAAAGGAGTCTGTTGACTTAGGAGCCTAGCTGGGAAATTGCTCGAGGGAGCTGTTGAGAAAATAAGAAACCCGGCTTATTCACCCCAGTTTACTGTTCTTTATCGAGGAAGCCAACCTCTTTTGCTGAAAATAATCTTAAATTGCAGTTGCAAAAATAGCATATAAGTTTACTGTTCACATCTCAAAATACATCATAAGAAATAATCTATTAAAATTTAGATTTTCTCTCTTCACACAATCATAGGTATAGCCATAAAGGTATGGCTGTAAACCGGGAAAAAAAAATCGAGTTGAAACTTGAGCTTCTCAACTAATGTTTTACTGATTAATTGTTGTCTCTATATAAGCTAAAGCTGCAGGATATTATTGAAAAGGGGTTGACTATTTATCACAGGTGTTCTTGTCTTTGTACTTCCTAATATTGTTATGTCGCACTTGTGTGAGTTGATTCTGCATCCAGTTTTGTAATACATAAGATTGTGCGAGGTGGCCTAGTGGTTGAGTCAACTGGTAAAAATTATCCTACTTTAGCTAGTATTTATCAAGTGATAGCAGTAATTTTCCTGTAGATGTGATTGTGGTTTGAAACATTCTTACAGGTTATGCTTATTTCAGGTTGAATCACTTCTAGACAGCGTGAAATGGGACAGCAAAGGTTTGGCGGTGGCAATAGCTCAAAACGTGGACACAGGAGCCATACTCATGCAAGGCTTTGCCAATAGAGATGCTCTCGCTGCAACCATATCCTCTCGCAAGGCAACATTCTATAGCCGCTCACGGTCAACATTATGGACAAAGGGAGAGACCTCTAATAATTTCATTAATGTTCTTGATGTCTTCCTTGACTGTGATCGTGATTCTGTAAGACCCTGTTTTCCTCTTCATACTGAATTGTTTTATTTTGCCTTTAGTATTTCCAACGAAATGTAATTGCTTTTTCTCTGTAATAATTCTGTTTTAGATTATATACTTGGGAAGCCAGATGGGCCAACCTGTCATACTGGGTCAGAGACATGCTATTATACGTCAGTCTTTGACTTGTTAAAAGAGCAAGAGGTTAGCTTCAATCAATCAATCATTAAATTTCTTATTGTTTGAGTGATTCACTGATTTGAGTTATCTGTGATAGGCCAAAGGAAGTAGAGATGGCTTTAACCTCATTGTATGCATTAGAGTCAACAATCTCCCAGCGCGAAGCAGAGTTAGCAGAAGGAGAAACTGGAAAGCCTTCATGGACAAAGCGATTGCTGCTGGACCATAATTTGCTGTGCTCTAAAATCCGGTAAGGTATTTGTAATTCAATCATGTTATTCTGTTGACATGGAAAATATTTCTGACCATGTTGTGAAATTGCTTTTGTATGATGGTTTTCTTTATACTTAATTTTTCTCATAAATTGATAAATTCCACTTGCTTGAAGAGTCTAGACTGATCAAACACATAGAACCTGTACCTTTAGGTTGTAACCATAACTTGTACTGACAGAGAGGAGGCCGATGAGTTGTGCCAAACACTCGAGAACAACGAGGACAAGTCACGAGCTGCCTCAGAGATGGCAGATTTACTATATCATGCCATGGTTTTGCAGGCAATTAAAGGAGTGAAAGTAGAAGATGTTTTGGAGGTTATTCGAAAAAGATTTTCTCAATCCGGCATTGAGGAAAAGAGAAGCCGGGCGTCTAAAAAATCAGAGGAACATTGAAGGTCCTGTCAAATCTGCTTCTGAAACACCATTTTGAGTCTGTGGTGACTGTTGATGGGATACAGCATTCATGGACATCAGCAGACAGGTTCACTTTGTAGGGATAATGTTGTCGTATTGTGGTGTACATTTTGTGTTCTTTACTTGTTGTTAATGTGATTGTTATCGTCCCGATTCTCCCTAGATCAGTTTCACACATTTTAAAGGCTTTGATAGGTGACTTAATTGGTTGGCTTGGATGCTTATTTATGGAATGCTGTAGTATCATGATTTCTTATTTTAAGAGCAAGGGTGTTGGGAGTTTTGCACTTTTTTCTGGTGCGTGTTATTGAAGGAAAATAAGAGAGAAAGTTCAAGATCAGGAGGTTGAGATAGAATCCCGCAACCATTTTCCCACTGACTTATTTTCTTTTCTCCTTATCTTCTGAATGAAAGGCAGAAGCACAATGCCACTCCAACCTGCACCTGCTGCTCACGTGGATATTTATGGTAATGGTGGGAAGAATTTAATGAAGTGATGGATGCTGACAACAAGGATTGGGTTGGGAGAGCTGAAATGTCCAATATTATTTGCGTGGTCAAAGCCTTGTGCATCGACCTAATGAATGAACCACTTTAAAGAGAGCAGAAGTGAGGGAATGTGCCGCAGAGAATTGGGAAGTAAAGTATGATTGAACTTTTGGATTGGACTGAAAAAGTTATCCAAAGTGATCCAGAATGCTTTTGAATTGCATGGTGATCAAATTCCACTGTTTGAATCTGCAAAAATGTAAACCTGTCTATCTATCTATTTAATACTCTTCCAATCTTTAAGAGAAGACCTATATAACTAATTTGATTAGATTAACAAAGTTAGATAAGTTAGTTAATTATAAGAAATAGGGCATGTTTTTGTTAAAACATTATAATCATCTTCTTTATTATCCTTCTCCTCTCTTATTCAGTTATGATTGAAAGAGTATCTATAAGGGTAATTTAAGAAAAACTGGTAAATGTAAGAGGATTAAATTCAACTCAATAATTAAGTTTTATGTTAATGACCAAAAGAGTATATATGTGTGTGTATATATAGTACTTATATAGTATTTAGTTTCTTTTGTTTTGCGTTCGTACCAGTATTTCCTACCTATAAAAATATATTGTTTGATTATAATCTCCCCGTGCTTGAGTTCTGGTTGTGCTTCATATCCCACAGTTTATTTAAAACTTTCTTGTATTTTTTTGACCAGATTTAAAACTTTCTTGTAGAAGAATACCGTGAAGGAAAAACTGTTCTTAAATAACATCCTTAAACAGCATCCATACTTTTGGAATACAGCCACTAGTAAACGGAGATTATACATATATCTATATATATATATATATATATATATGCATGTGTGAAATAGTGAGCTAGAAAGTAAGATTTTATAAATCATTTCATGCATTAATATACCATTATGTTTTTTATCAACAATCTACGTTATAATGTATTCCAATTAAATATACACATATAATGATCCTTTAGAAATTATAAGATGTTAATGTCTTACAGTTGATTATATCTAATCAAAATAAAACATATAAATACATCTCTTTTGATGTACTAATATCACAAGTAACTCAAAATACCTCCTTTTCTGAACGAGAATTAAAATCATAAGCACAAAATTGCAAAAATCCTACTTCCGTTGTTCATACAAGCATTCTGTTTATATATATATATAGAGAGAGAGAGAGAGAGAGCATTTATCAACAATTTTTTATTGCTATAAAATTAATTAATTAATTAACGTTCAAAGTAAAAATACTTTTCATATAATTTTTGTTTTGCGCACGAAATACCAGTGCAGGATAAGAACTTGAGACTTGACCGTATGTCACACTGGAAAAGTAAAGAAATCCAGAACCCATTATTGGGGTTGGGAGCGAAAGGACAGTACTTGAGTAGGGATCTGGTCCGCGGGGAGTCCAAAATTTTTTGACGAGTTGCCCTTTCCGTAAATCTAGCACAGAACCTCAGCTTACGGGGTCGTGAGCGCCAGCAGTCACTATTAACTACTCGGTTCGAAGACCTTCATCCGCTCTTTCCTCTTGCTCGCTTTGTGTTTCACTTTGAGGGTTTCTTCTTTGGTTCCTCAATGGAGGGCTTGTCTTCTCACTCTTCCGATACAAATCCATCTCCATCCGCCCCTTCGGAGTTCCTCTCCAATCTTCCCTCTCGAGGCCTCTTCTCATCCACCGTCATTTCTTCGAATCCGGTAATATTTTGTCTTTTCGGTTTTTGCAGTGTTTATTTATTGGATTATATGCCTGCGGTACTTTATTTCACTTAAATTTCTTGTTTGTTCATCTTAATTAGCGAAGCCAACTGATCTAATATCAATAATCGGATGTAGTTCGGAATTTGGATGCTTTGTGTTTTTGATAGGGTGCAGCACTGATGTTATTCCATTTTTACTTTAGTATTACAATGGATTTTAGGCATCTTGGAGACGGCATTGGCATTTCGCGAGAGATATTAGGACTGCGGCGCCGTCAGAACACTGTGTTATGTCAAGTGAAAGGCCTTGGAATTCACAGTGTCGAACTTTCATAGGTATTTTTATAATGGGAACACGGGGTGCTGTTAATTTATAGGATATGAAAGAGGATTGTGTCTTTTCTGGAAAAATTGGCAGAAGTATGCCACGTGTCTTCTGGTGTGGCGAAGGCCCCTTTGATTTGTTTTACATTAGATGTTGTAAGTAGTATTTTTTTACAGTGACAATTGCTCTAGTTCTTATTAATCACAGGGGTAGTTGTATCCGTTCACTAACCATTTTTCCTAGGAAGAAATTGGGAGTTTTCTCTCAATTGTTCATTCTTTTTTATCCAGAGCGGTTTTATAAGTCACTCTGATTTATACTGGCATATAACTCAACAACACTGAAGAATGTTCTGTAGCATAACTCCCGTAAATGGTTTATGGCTTGGGAAAGATTGAGATGTTAATTTATGCTAAGGAAATAGGCACATAAACTTGGGTGTGGTAATATTGCGGATGCAATTTCTCATTAATGCTTTTCTTTTTTTTTTTCTTTTTTTTGCCACTCATTAATGCTTTTCTAACTCCTGGAATATGGCAGAAACCTTGTTTTTCATGTACTCTTTACTTCCAATGATGCGATTACTTTGTGATAAGTTTATTCTGATTTTTCTATACGCACATTACCCGGAATCAAGTGGCAATAATTGCGTTTATTGACTTTCTAACATATTTTATCCACTTATTTGTGGAGATTGTCTACGGTAAATTGAATCTTCGTGTACTATCATGATAACCCCGATGTCATATGTTGTTGTTTGAATTTGACCTAATCCTGTTTGGCAAATAACTATGCAGGGTGGTATGCGGGTTTATATTTGTGATCATGATACCTGTCCACCAGGTCTGCTCGTGCATTCTTCTTGAAGTATTTTGGCATGTTGTCTGATCTAGCTTCTAATGCATAACGTGGCAAATGAAATAGCCGCTTATTTTTTAAAACATAAGTTTTTCCTATTTCAGAAGTTGGCCTCAAGATTCCATAATTGATATTTTATGATACATATAGCTCATGAGTTTTCTACACTTGTCTTTCTAGCACCCATAAGGAACGTTATACTTGATCAGGTTCAGGTGCTTCTCTTTTACTTATAACATGCCCTGCTGATGAATGTTACCATTTTATTGAAATCTTTTTGAGTCCATTATGGCATCTACTTTGAGATGGTAGACTTTAACACATGCTTTGTTGCCTGAGCCCTTCTATGTTGTTGGCATATCAATAGACAAGGGATCAATTTAATCCTGAAAAGTGCTCACATACATAGCAAACTTACTATGTGAAATTGTAGGTTGTTTATACTATACAAAAGATTTTCAAGGCTTTTGATATCAGAAGGTGCAATTTTTGGGGCAATTTACTTTGCAGATAATAATGAAGTGTAATATTGCAATCTTAAAGTATAATTTGTCTCTGTTAAGCATGCCGAAATTCATTGTCTTAGATTTCTCAAGGTAAAATACATATACACTTTTTACACTATTGATTTTTGTTCTCCATGTCAGTTGCTATTGTTATTTATCCTACAATGCTTGGTAAATCTGTCACTATTTGTGCTTTTAAACTTGGGTTTCATCCTATATATGCTAGCTATCTAGTCTGTGCATTTCTACAAAATTTAAATGTTTTCTGGTGTAGATAGTTGTTGCTTGGTAAAACTTCTGACTCTGTTGCATATCCAGAGGACCAATATGTTAAGACAAATCAACAAAACATACTGATTAGATCACTCACGCTGAAGAAACACAAAGGGGACTCCTGTTCAAAGGAGGGAACTGAGGGCTCAAGGAAGAGGTATCAGTCCCACTTTTTTGATGAAAATGTGATTTTGTAATGAAATAATATGATATGATCTATAGACAAGTTTTTCAATGGCAATATCTGCATTTACTCTCCTCCGCAAACATCTTTCTTGATAATTTTGTCCTACTACATATTGTCCTTCATGTGAACATTTGTTTACATCTTCACAATTATTGAGTGTATATTTTATCTTAGTCAAGTGATTTTGAGTTGTCTCGCTCATCTTTAATCAGGGCTGGTGAAAAGATTCTAGATACCAGAGCTTCTGCAAAGAGAATGAATAGTCAAGTGAACTCTAGACAAGGTGAATTCATATGGTCATAGTATTTATATTTGGTTTTAGTTTATGTATGTGTTACTACACTTCTCAGTCACATTAATGCACTTTTTTCTGATCACCTGCGTTTCTTAATAATGGAAATGATTATTTATTTATTTATTGACACTGAGATTATTAGCTCATCATGTCTTTTAGAAAATGACATTTTTATTCCCAATTTCCTGTGGATGCATCCCAAAGTTGAGGTATTATTTCTGTCTGGTACATAATGATGTCAGGACATGACACCTCTCAAGCACGATTGCCGGCTACTTTGTAGAATATTGAAATACAATTTAAACTTCAGAACATACATTATATCGAGTAGTCATGTTTGCTATGTGCGTTAATCTGTTTCCATGTGTGGATCTGTTTGTTTAGAATTGTTGTTAGAAAAGGTTTTTTAATGTTAGCCAGTCAATACTTGTCTTTGTTTAGCTCTGTGCATGGTGTGCCCTTTGTCCTTGAAGGCTAGTTGTTACGCCGGTTAGCATATCATGCATACTGGTACATTAATTGTAATCATTCAATGCTGTGTCAACTTTATTTTTCAAATTTTGTGTTTATCTTGCCTAAACATGGAGTGCAGCCTTTGTTCTTGTCTATGTACTTGTAAATCCTAGTTCACAGATGAAAATTCACCTACCAAAAACCTGTTGGTTTGTGGTTTCCATATATTAATTAAGCTGAATTTTAGATATGTATTGCTCTGCATATTTCTGTGGTCTGCCATGGATGATATATAAGTCACTCCTTGTCCTTTTTTGGCTTTCCAATTTGCAGAGGGGTCAAACAGTCAGACTTCTACAAGGGAAAGGGACTTACAGAGCTTGACTGTAGAGAGGCTTCGAGCTCTGTTGAAAGCTAAAGGCCTTCCCCCAAAAGGAAAGAAGGCAAGTATTGAGATGAAATGCATTCATACAGTAGCTCATTTCACAATCTTGGCTGTTTTATTTTTCTTAACGAGCAATCCTTAGTTTTCAGAGTAGTACTTGCTGTCTATAGGCTTTACAAACACATCGCAACAAGTTCTTCAAATTTCTAGTATTTCATTCCAGTTGATAGTAATATGAACTGGCATGTAGTGATGGCTGACTACTTGTCAGATTTCTTGCCCGTTTTATTTATTCTTTTCTGGGGGTTTGTCTTTACTAATATCACAAAAGTAAACTTCTGTAGGATGAGCTCATTGCGCGTCTAAAAAATGCTAATGGCTGAGCATTGCGTGGAGGACAAATACTCCGCCCTCGAAGACATATAATATTGGATAGGTAAGACTAGTATCTTAGAATCAGGAGCCAGGACACTTCTTTTATCAAGCATCAGTGGTCAGTGCAAACTGTTGTTTTTTTTTTTCCCCCCGTTTCTATTTTCTGTGGTTAAATGTTATGCTATGTTTTCTGCTTAGCATGTGTTTTGGGCTGCTTCACCAATAGATCATCTCGAGAATGTTGTGTATGATAAAACAAATTTACACAAACCTCAAGGAGATCCAACGGTGAAAAACTCATTAGAACAACATTTAATTTGACTAAAATGCATATATTCTTGTTTTTATTTAGTCTCTACCTTGAAAATTCAGCCATGTGAAAGTCAACAAGAAGCCTGCTGGCCGCTCTATGTTTCTCAAAATTTTCAGGGAATTAAATTATAATCGGAGAGGTAGATTATGGTTGAGTCTCATTCGAGGGCAGTGCATATTTGGGAAATAAAATTTTACAATGTTGGCGTCATATCACAAATCCATAATATGATACATTCTCATGGGAGTTTCCTTCACCTAAAATTTGTTGAATTATGTATTTCCCTTGGTGCGTACAGGTGTCTTTCTCGTCATTTTCGAGTATATTGGCAATAAACAAATGGCTAGCTTCGTAATTGAAGGAAGCCAGTATTTTTAACTTTTTAGTCTGTCAATAAAATCAGACACCAGATGACAGTGTTAAGGCTGATGCCAGACAAGACGACGTGGGGCTATCTGTTTTATTAAGAATATTTTCCTGCCGATTGGTTTAGATGGTTTCAATAAGAACTTGTTGAACTAGTACTCGTCATCTCTTATGGCATTAAATAATGGTATTATTATAGTTCCTTCTCACACGCATATCTATATCCTGTTATGTACCGCCCTACACTAGGATTGGCCTGAGGTCTTGGCGGTGAAGTGGGCACAAAGCGCATTCGTTGGTTTTCAATTGCACTTGCACTGTAGCATTGGGAATAAATTATTTAAAACACTGCATTTCTGGTCCGTTCTCAATCTTAGTAGTGTTTCTTCCTGTGATAGCAATAATGATGTTTGTAAAATTCGATCAGGTGACAGCACGACACACCCATCTTTGTAAAATTGTGCCAAGGATCAAGCATCCATATTCCCCGTAATTACTTAGTAATTTCTTGGGAGATATCGCTTTGGACTATTGAGGAAAATTAACACTTTAGGATCCATGAGTTTCGATATATCGTTGAGAACATTGGTTGCTTAATCTCTTGGTTCGCATAAACCCCAGAAATCCTAGCGACGACTAAATTTTAAGTCCTAGGTTTTGGTGGCTTAGGTTTTTTTTTTTTTTTTGAAAACAATAAGTCTTGAAGTCCTAGGTTTAGTTAAATAGCATTCAATAAAGCAGTGTAGAAAACATTTTCAAATATGTCTTATTTTTCCACTTGGTATTTTTAGAATTTTTAAAATTAAAACCATGGAAAAAGAATGCTCAATAAAGATCATTTCAATGGAGACAGTAAATTGTACAGCTCAATTCCAAGATAGCCACAGGACTGGAAGTAGCATCATTTTGAGGGAACTGCCATTTGGTCTCAAGGAAGAAAAATTATTACTAGAAATTCCCATAAGAACCGACATAATAACTGGTACGCTTCCAGTGTAAAAAATAAAAAACATGTTAACTGTTTATTATTAGTAGGTTTCTGGTAATTATTTTCTTTTTTTAAAACCTTAAGAGTGATATTCTGACATTTTCATTAATCTCTCGGTGCTGCAACACAGTTAACATCTTAAACATTTCTCGTCCGACATGATGAAAAACAATATAATAAAAGGCTTATATGCACCACAAGACACCTCATAATAACGATATATATTGTTCGTGGCTTCATAGCTTGGGCAGCAAGACATCGTTCAATAAATTTTAAACATAGATTAGGGTTATACTTACAAATTCTCGGCCTCTCAAATTACCTGAGGATTAACACATTTGTAATTTAAGCCTTCGATTCCGCTGATAGAAACAATTGCATTACTTAATAAATGTCCCCCACAACGCAATATTTTAAACAATACGATACTCAGGCTAGGAATTTCTTTCTAATTGTAAGCCACAGGCCTAAGGTCTCTGCATCAACAAGCACATTTATCATATAACAATACAATCCTAAGGATCTGTGAAGCCACTAGATTTTGACCCGAAAAACGAAAGCCAAAATTTGGTACCCGCTCAATAGTTGAAACCTCCGAATAATAAATGGAAAACATACGCCAAATACATGCAAATCATCAGCAACAACAATGAAATAAAACGACACTTGACGAAACATAACACTACAAAAATAACAGGGAGGCTTCTAGAAAGTAAAACATCTCAAGATATGCAAGTGGCACTAAAGATATCTTAACACTAGAAACTTCTCAGCCGTTGGCAGGACGGTCCAAGTCTACCCAAACCTCAGATTCTGAAACAACAAAAGTTACGAGACAGAATTAGAACCAAATACCAATCATGGATCATGAGTCGCACGTTCCCTCACTTAATAAATACAATATTCAGGAATCTCTATATTATTAAAAAAAAAAAAGCTTTAGAATATACTTACATATTTTATTGAAGGCCACAATGTCACAGCTCTGGACATATTCATTAACTGGCTCGCTCATGAGATGTTCCTCAATGAGGCTGTCAACAGAGACCAGGTCATCCACTATAGTAAGCATAATTTGCAGCTTCTTGATACCGTACCCAACGGGGGCAAGTTTGGCTGTGAAATTGATCATATTAGACTTGCAAACAACATGGCTCATGATGAACGTAGGTTATACTGAGGAAAGCATAAAGGACGATCTATGTATCATTTGAATATGGTTAGAAAATATTAGCTTACATGCACCCCAATGCAATCCTTCCATCTGAACCCCTCTCACTGCTTCTTCAAGCTTCTTCATGTCTGTCTCGTCATCCCAGGGCTTCACATCCAGCAAAACAGATGACTTCCCAGCTGATAATCCAATCAGCAAAAACGTCATTATTCAGGAAACAGGTGTTAGAAGAACATGTCAGGACCCAAAGGCAGTTAAGTCAGCAAGATAATTTACATTCTTTCTTCTTTGAAGATGCCTTCACGGCAGCTGCCCGTTCTTCAGCAGCCTTCTTTTCTTCTTCAGTCTCTTCACCAAATAAATCCACATCATCATCATCATCATCCTCAGCGGATGTGGCCTGAATAACATTATAGTTGGTCAACCATTAGAATGAGTTGTCCAAAAACACAAATTTGGTAACATAAATGACAGTAGCACATAACTGAGCTCCAGATGGCTCACTACTTCAGTTAAGAGCTACAGAATATATATATCCAGAAAGGAAGATAAAATGGAGAAATAAAGCAGGAGGTGAAGGATGGAAGAAAAACATACGTAAAACAATGAATATAATAAAATCATATTACATTTATTCATTAGTGAACCCAGTTAGTGGATAACTTGAAGCTTGAATACAACTGAGGAAAATACTTGCCTTTGTGTCAGCAGGTGGAGGAGTGGCAATGGTTTCGTCTGCTACGGGAAGAGATCCCTCCACTTTGACTCCACATCCGTCACCAGATACACCCCTGTATGAACAAAATGAGTAATAGATCGAATAAGAAGCAAGAAAGTAGTGACGTTAACTATTATTCTTAGACAAAGTGTAAAATTATGATGCATTAAACACAAGGGAAATCACAAACTCAGACATAAAAACACGCCGTGATCTGTCAGATCATCACAAATAAAATGCAGAGTGAACGAAAGGAATTGAACGGCCGTGCATCTAGTAGCAACACCCAATTACACGACTTCAATCCATAACCAGGCCTGGGATCAGAACTTACGAGATTCTCAATAGAGCATCAATGTGCTTGTACCACCGGGAAGCGTTCACATATTCAGCCGATGGGGCCTTAGACAGGGCTGCATGCACTGTAATATCGTCCTTTGAAGCTTGATACCTGAAAAGAGATAGTAAATGAGCGCCGCCTATAAACTTTTGGGGGGGGGGGGGTAAAATAGAAAAAGCAATAAATATAGCGACTTACCCAGTTATATAACTGCGAGTGAGAAGGTATTCATCGAGCTTTTTCAAGCCAGAAGCAGAGTTAACGTTAGCCAATGTGACTGCCATTTCTGATGTATATAATTCCTTTGCTTCTACAGTGCGCATATAAAGAGTTCCATGTAAGTGTTTGATGTATCTATAACTCAGTATACAGCAAAGGGAATTGAGATTTTCCTCAAGTGTTTTGTAGAAAATAGAACCATAAGGAAAACAAGGACCAAAGAGAAACCGCTTCCATTCTACTTTTATCAGTAATCATCAGTAGATAATAACTAATTACATGGACTACATCCATAACTAGATCCCAATACAAGCTTCCAAAAACCCTCAAATTGAGACACTAGATGAGAAGAGGAACTTACGGTGAATGGAGGCGGGGGATCCCTGTGCACCTGGATCTTGGAGGCTGTGGACGACTAGGGCAGAGATGGGAAACGGGAACTCGGCGAGGGATTTTATGGTGAACCGGGTAATTTGGGCCTCGGGTTGGCTTCGATGAATAAAGAACCGGATCTTTTGTTACTCAAAATTCGTGACCCAAGTGAAAACATTTTGGTTGCCAATAAGGCTTAGTGCTATTAGCATTTTCGAAGAGTTTTGAACTTGCGTGTCTCTAAATGAGTTTGGATGCTCATGAAAAATAAACTCATCTGTTTTTTAGCCTTCTGAAAAATAAATTCATCAAATCTCAATTATTCATATCAATTTAGATTTAATTTTTTTATTTTTTCAAAATAATTGATTTAATGGGTATAAGATCAAAAATAAAAAATAATTTCTTAACTATTATTTTCTCAAAAAAAATTTATATAAAGAATGATTAATTAAAAATATTAAATTTGGACTGTTTAGATTTAACATGGACGATTTAGATTGTTCACATGATCACCAAAATCAGGTCCCTTTACTCACGGCTTACCCATTAGATGGCATGCTTGTGTGTAAAGATAGTTTTTGGGAAACTGGGTTGGTAAATGAAAGCATCTCACCCAAAAATCTGAGAAAATTGATCTAACTCAACCAAAGCCCCATTCAGAGGTAACTTAAGAAGTTGTTTTGATTAGCTTAAAAAATATTTTTATGTTTTATAAGATAAAACTTTTTGTGTTTATTCTGTGCAACGCGAAATCAATTTTTCAACACCAGAACAAAAACCTACAGCCTAATAAGAAAAGTGAGTTGGGTTTGAGGGAAAAAAAGCCTGCGAAGAAAAGCATAAACAAGTAAAAGACAATGTCTGGGACAAACTTTAGCCCATGGCTCATCAAGCCATTGATCATACCGTCAGATCGCAAATTGTATGAAAACTCCTTTATACTCTTCCGATGTTTAATATAGAACCTAATTGTTAAATTGATTTTGGTTCTAAATATAAAACCTATTTCTCATACTTGTCAATTTTTTTCTAAATTATTCCTATAGATACTCCCTCAACAATAATCAAGTAGAAGAGAGAGAGGGGATGTTAAGGAAGATAATTGTGGTGTTTTAGGAAAAACATGTCATATTTCTCATAATTAACTAACTTACCTGACTTCCTTAATCTAATCAAATTAGTTAATTAAGTGTTATATTAAGAACCGGAGAAGTATATAGGAACTTATGGGTTCAACTCAATATCTAATGTTAGTCTGGGAGTAATGGATTAGAAAATTTTGATCATTACAATCAAATGCAAGTCGGTACACATAATCAAATACAATAAGAATTAATGAGTATATTTTTTCATCCTCAGTCCTTCTTCCCTAAATTCACTGTGATATCACAGAGTGAGTTCGATTTTGAGGAAAAATGTTCATAGAAAGAAGCGCCAGCAAGGTGTGGAAGGCAATGTGTGGGGTAAGCCTTAGTTCATCACTCATGGGTCTTATTTTGTTAGAGCCTATACTTATTTGTTTCTCAATCTTTATATACAAGGTAGAATTTTTTTTTTTGATAGACTGGAAAACAGCAACTAACTAACAGTAGGAAACGCAACCATCCTTGTCACCGAACTAGGACTCGGGACCTGAAGTCCTCCAGCTTCGTTCAAGGCGAGCTTAGCAAGTGCGCTAGTCATATAGTTTTCTTTTCTACTGATGACTTGATGTTCGACCTGCCATTCCCAAGCAAGCATGCTTTTAATTTCCTGTATCACCTCCCCATCCTCATGCACACTGTTGTCACTACCTGATACAAGAGCCATAGCCTCTGACGAGTCGCTTCTTAAGATGATTTCTCTTTCTCCCAGATCCCAAGCCCTCTTCAGACCCTTTAAGCAGCCCTAAAGCTCGGCTGTGACGTGGTCTACTTGATTAAGGTTGAGGAGGAAACCTTCCACAAGAGTATCTTGGCGTTTGATTACACCCCCACAAGCCGTGCGACTCTGGTAGCCTGAGAAGGCCCCATCAACCTCCAGCACCAGTCTATTTCTGGTGTCCTCTTCATTTCTTTGAGTCACCAAATGTTGAGGTGATCTAAAGTCGACTCCTCTGAGCCTTGTAACGCTGTTGCACACGCAGTTCAGAAACGCAAGTGCCCTTGCAAGCATCATATGTAGGTTTGTATCTGTATTTGAATGGATAAACTCGTTTCTAGCTTTCCAGATAAGCCAAGAAAAGATGACAAGGAAGCTTTTCCACTCAACCTCTAAATTTCCCACGTCTCTTATCATGTTCATGCGGACCCAGTCTTTAAGATTGCTAGCAAAAAATCTGTCGTGGAATTCTTGTTTTACAATCGATTTCCAGACCGTCTTTATACTGGCACAGCCTTGAAGGACGTGAACTTCATCTTTCGTGTCCTGCTTGCACCTATCACAAAGCCTAGTCTGGTGAATACCACATTTAAGCTTATGTTTGTTCGTCATTAAGCGTTCATGGTACATGAGCCAGGCGAAAGATTTGCATCTCTAGGATATCTTCAGCTTCCAAATGTGTTTCCAGTTTATGTTAAAAGTAGATTAGTTGAATGAAATCCACTTTTTTATTGTAAATTCCTTGGAGGAGATTTGTCATTACTACTTAAAAATGGGATGAAAAAAAAAATCTCATTGTTACAATCATTTGATGCATGTAATCAATTAAGTTTGAAAGCCGAAAAATATATTTGTTGGAAGAATTTTAATCTTAATACCTCCGGCCTCAAATCCAAAGTAACTTAAAAATAGTCTAAGTTATACCAATTACGACCAACCAAATAGAACAAGAAACTATAATATACCAGATAAGTAAGTCAAAATCAATCATAATCAAATTAAATATAATCACATCACCATATTCTAATTAGATTTTCTCCCTCATATTTGGTTTTTTCTGCCCTCAGATATTTGAATTTTTTTTATTGATCCCCATCCTGGCCTGATATATATTGACCATTGAGCAGAAAAATAACATATATAATCTTACTCCTAAATATAAAATCTCAATCTATTTTCTCTTCTAAATTCATAATGTGTTCCAAAAAAAATCCATATTAATTGTAAAGTATATAGTTCTAACATATATGATTCAATAATGATTATTTAAGAAAATCTACACATATTTATTACAAATAACTAAATTAATTAATTTTTTAATCTCTCTGAATTAATTATCTAGCTCTTATATTAAGAATAAAAAATAACAAATCACAAAATTTGGTGTCTAATTACCTTTTTTATATTTTCACTAAAATCATCTCAGTTCGTTGCTAGGGTTTTTTCTCATGATCCTGAGGGATCTTAACCGGTTGGGTCATGAGGCCCCACTTCTCATTATTCAATCGATCCAAGCAAGACGAATATCCTGCGGGAAAAAAAAAAGAAGGAAAACGGATCTATAAATCTTGAACTTCATGGCGCTATTTTTTTGCCTGATCCACAGCCACGGCCTGAGTTTTTTCGTTTATATAGCTTCTTCCATTTAAAGCGTTTTGGATATGAGTTTAATTTTGTTAATGCTATTAAGTATATGGATCAAAATTGAAACTCAATAAAATTACGTGGATTAAAATCAAGAACAGTAGCTATTAGAATTAGAGCCAAAATTCATTAAAGTATGAAAAAAAAATCCCCCAAAAATCCCTATTTTGCAGTCTTTTTGTCAGAAATTACCTAGCGCAATTATTCTCAGCATGTGCAACTTTTTTTTTTTTTTTGATTGTGTGTGACTTATCCTCGACCAGGTTAAGAAACCTCTAATATGAAAGCCATTTGCAGGTAACTAAAAATATGCTGTATATAATTGAAGGGGAACTGAGCATGGTGAAAATGATTGGACCCTCTTAAATTGATGAAATCATATCTGAAAGTAGTAGAACATGTATTTAAACGTTGGATATTACATTTTATTACAGATTATAGGGAGATTTTTTCCGGGAAAAATCGATTTTGTCTATGAAAATCAATTTCTTTGTTCTCTATCACATATTTAAGTTCATTCTTTATCTGCACTTTTGGTTTTGTTGTCAATACTTTTAATAAATTTTAATTTTGGTCTTTGTATTTATATTTGAGACTAACAATAATATTAATATTGCGGTGTATTAGTGTACTATTTTTTATTCTTAATATAAGTACTAGTTGAATATTGTATTTGATTCTAAATATAATATCTCAATCCATTTTGTCTCTAAAAGTTATATTATTTTATTTAAAATACCCTTATTGATTGTAAGGGGTTTACATCAAAAGTTAATTCTAATGCACATCAACAAATAAGATGGTTTAGAAAAGTCAGCACACATTTATTACAATTAACTAATTTAACTCACTTATTTAATCTTCTCAAATTAATTATCTAACTCTTATATTAAGTCACAGGTAGTATTTGATATTTGGTTGGCAAGAAAATGATTTGATATTTGGCATTAGTGTCTTAACACCTTTAACTTTGTAGAAATTGAAAAGAAGAGTTCAGTGAATATCTTGATATACTATTTCTGATTTTTGATATAAAAGTTTGTTTGATTTTTATTTTGGTCATAAATATAATATCCCAATTCACTTTATTTCTCATATTTATCTATTTTTTTCTCTCAAGGTAATCTTTCTGATAATAACAGTTATAGCCAATAACAAGAGTATTTGAGAAAAGACAACACCTATTCATTACAAATAACTAGCTTAACTAGTTTTCTCAATCTACTCAAATTAGTTAATTAGCTCTTACATTAATTGGAAGTAGTATTAAATAAAACCAAAATTGGTGAGCCACTTGTAAGTACCTCTGAAATTCCAAAATTGGTGTGAATACTAACAAGAGTTGGTCCGATTGGTAAGAAATCGACTAATGACTCGTAAAGTCGAAGGTTTTAATCCCGCTGCTGATATGAGGATCTTGTTAATAAGTGATATCTAAATATCTTTGAGCCTAGAGGCATATCCTGATCCTAATGAGTCTCTGGATTCAACCCAGCTAGACTTTTTTTTCCTGGAACAAATAAAAAAAAGGTAAAACCAAAATTTTCTTCATTAAAAAAAGATGGAACCAAATTTTTTTTT